GAATGAGTCCTACACATCTGAAGATTGTCATAGATGTCCCTAATGCAGCTTATTACCCAAAATCCATGATTTAAGTCTGATTTTATTTTGATACATCCCTGACTAGCGTCAATGTTGATTACAATTGTACATGTACATGTATGTTTGTTGCCCTGGCTAAACCAGTAATTAATTTCCAGCATGGTTGTAGTATCATGATTTAGCTGATTGCTGTGTAGGCTGCCCGAAATCCTGGGCTTTATCTGGCTGGGTCATGATTAAACTAGTTATGATTTAAATTAAAAGTCTAATAAGAACCAAACCTAACATATAATGTGTGCTAATTAAGATTTTCTCCTTACCTTAAAGGCCTTTTCACACTTGTCCACTTTGGTTCCGGAGTCACAACCTACTAAAAGAGAACCCTTTTTGGTTGTGTTCACATTAAAAGTGAATTAAGTTATATAAGCTCCTTAAAGTCATGATTTAATTAAGATCGATCTACTTTAATCCACTGCAAACCACCACTAGATGTGAATTGACTGAATCTATAGCTTCAATCCAATTGTGAAAATACTAATCCTGTCTTAATCCTGGATTTTTATCTTTCATGTGTACTTGTATTTTAAGATCCAAGTAAACGTATCTGAAAAGGCCTTAATTCTGTTATTGATCTTGAGTATAGTCTTAGATCCAAACTTATATCAAGTTCTTTATATTTTTTTGGTTCTTGGAAACAAGTATCTAAGGCCGCAGTTTCCAAAGCTGATGGAGTAATCTTAGAGATGCTGTTGAGATACACTTGTAGCTTCTTTCTTTAGACAATTAACTCAAAAATTTACCCTGCCATTTTAATTATTATTATTATAAGCAGTGCAAAACAGAATACAGTACGGAAATCATTGAGTGAGAGAACAACGAGGCTGAATCTTTAAAGACTCTTGTACTGTACATGTACTGTACATGTACATTAGGTCAGTCAGAAATGCATTAAATGGTAGAGGTTGATGCAGCCTTGCTCTTTGAGGCTGTAGCTTTTTGTATCGAAGCTGCTTTACTGACTTACATGTACACTGTACATGTGCCTGAATCTGTCATATGGAAGATTTAATATAGTAATCATGGTGCAACTCAGTGTTGTTCTTACTACTATGAAGGTTCTTTATATTCTTTCAGTCCTTGGAGACAAAAACCTTATGCATTTGACTATTTGATAAAGTTTTCACTAGTATCCAAAAAGTTTATCCTCCCATTGTAATTATTTTGACGACACCATCATGCTGACCCATTTTATTATTTCTTTTTACCTTTTAAGGAATGTACTTATAACCTTTTAAGCCTTGTGAGATTAAGTCCAGAGGGATTTTGCTCATTTTCACCCTTTTTATTTTAATAGGCCATGGAATTATTAAGTCACATTACAAAGAGGCTACAAACTCGTTCTCAAGTGCAACTACCAATTATTGTATTGATTGAACAACTTGATGGTGCTACTCCTATTGTTCAAGTATTCACCACATTGTTTATTATTATTATTATTTTGATAAATTTAGAATTTCATATTAGTATATTTGAGAATAGGGATACCTAGATTGAGTCCTGTTAATCAAATTGAAATGTTACCTTTATTAATTAAATCAATGAATGACAAGACAAAGAAACAAATTGATAGGTACATACAATTACAGCTGTAAATTTTTGCAATGATTTTTGTTGGAGGCTTGAGCATATACTGTATATGCCATATACAAGTACATGTATTTTTTGGGTACAAAATTTCACAATTTGGCTCCGTTTTTATGTTTACATATAAAAATAATGTACAGGTACTTACCACACGTACTATACATTAATTCAGCATGTTGTTTTGCATATTATAATTTCACTAATTTTTCCAAAACGCAAAAGTCACAAAAAAATTATTGCCTACAAATTATATGGCATATACGGTACATGTACATGTAATGAATCAAACAAATTTTCATTGTAGTATACTCTTGCTATATTCTGGAGCACTGATTCATTTGACTATCACTGATGCAGCTGCATTAAAGTCACTGGTCCCTCCTGATGGAACCATGAAAGAATATTATCTCTGTTATCAATTAACATTGTTATTAATACCATACAGGTAATTATAATCTTTTTGCTTTAAATTATTTTTGTTTTATAATTGTTATGAGCTATTTTTACATGCATTAAACTGCAACTGCATGTTAGAGGGCAATAATTAATTGTATCTACATGTTGACTCAAAATTTGAAAAATTACATAATTATTCTTAATTTCCATTTCCATTATTCAGCTGTCATGCTTGGTATAAATTTGATTTTCCCTGAATTTATAATTTTTCATGTCTCCACATACACATGTACATGTATATTACATGTATGGTACATGTACATGTACACATAATTTAGTTTCGCATAGCCAAACCAAATAGTCAACTGACTATTCCTCATTCGTTATGCTTCACCCAAACCAATATGTTGTTCTGCTTCACCCAAAAATGGATGAATTGATATCAGTAACACTGACTCTTTCCATTTTCCAATTGACAGAAGCTAAAGCAACAGCTGTGAAAAATACATGTATGCATGCACATCTTCTCCCTCTCATGGCCTACTGGCTACACCAATTAAAGTGCTACCAAAGCTCTTTCCGAAAAGTCAGTATCTCTTTCCAGCTCCATCAAACGAGTGCACTATAGCACAAGCCCTTGCCACAATCAGTGTAACGTAACACAAATGAAACATTAATGTTGTTCTTCAAAAGTTATAAAGACAATGCTGATGATTTGCTGTTACTATTAGCTTACTCAGCTTTGCATTGCTTGCTGCAGCAATTGAAGGTGTGGCTGAATTAAATCTGTGTGGCTCAAATTAAGCACCGCCTACTGCATAATAGTACCAGTTACTGATAAAAAAACTTCAGTT